TGAACACACGTTTTTTAATTTTTATGAAGTCTTATTTAGTTAGTCAGTTTTTTGCTGTTTGTGTTTTTGTTATTATATTAGATAATCTGTTGTTAAATGCTCAACAGACTTGCTTCTGCAATTTCTTCTATAGAAATTGTTACTTTGATTTTCACGTTTAAGGTATCCAATCCATTATATGGTGTGAGGCAGGTATTCTTTCCTTTTTTCTGCATATGGAACCCAATTTTGCCAACACGATTTATTGAAGATACTCTTCTTTTCTCCATCATATACTTAGCACTCATGTCATCAGTAAGCTAAATTTGAATACGTGTATTTGTTTCATGAATCTCAATTTTGTATGGTCTATATGTTTGCTGTTGTACCAGTACAAAACTGTTTTTGATTACTATAGCTGTCTAACATGTTTTATCAATCAGGAAGTGTGGGTCCTCTTATTTTGTTTTGTTTTGTTTTTCTTTCAACACTGCTTTAGCTTATGGATCCCTTGCCATTCTGTATAAAATCAAGGATACTTTTTTTTTTTAGTTTTGTAAAGAAAACTATTGGAAATTTGTTAAGGATTGCATTTAATCTACAGATTTCTTGAGTAGTATTGGTTAGCATTTTAACAAAATTAAGTCTCCCAATCCATTAACATCTTTCCATTTACTTTTCTCTTCTTTAATCTTTTTTAGCATAGTTTTGTACTTTTTATTGTATATATCTTTCATATAAATACATTTATTCCTAGGCATTTTACTCCCTTATATGCTCTTATAAGTGGATTCAATCCCCTATTATTCCTTTAAATTTCTTGTTGTTGATGTACAGAAACCAACTGATTTATAACCATCCAACTTTGCTCAAATTTTCTATTAGCCTTAGAATTTTTTTTCTTTTTTGGGGGCAAATTCTTTTGGATTTTCTATATATAAAATTATGTAATCCAAAAATAGATATATTTTTTCTTTTTTGTACAATATCTATGTGTATTATTTCTTTTCTTTTCTTTATTGCTCTGGGTAGGATATCAAATATTATATCAAAGGTACTGATATAAAGCCTTTTTATCATTTTCATCTTCAAGGGAGAAAGTTCTCAATCTTTCTCCATTAAGTTTAATATTGGCTGTTGGTTTGTCAGGTGTGCCTAGAATAATATTGAGTAACTTTCCTTCCATTTAAGCTTTTTGAGATTTTTGATCAAGAAAGCATGTCATTGTTATTGGGCCCTGTCAAGCCAGTTCTGACTCATTGTGCCGCTACATACAACAAAAGAAAATGCTGACTAGTTCAATACCATCCTAACAATGGTTATGTTTAAGTCCATTGTTGTAACTACTGAGTCAATTCATTTGATTGAGGATCTTCATCTTTTCTATGGTCTACCTGACCAATATTCTTCACCATATGTCTCTGGTCTTGAGTTTATCAAATGCCTTTTATGTGTCCATGTAAATGGCCACGTCCTATTCCTTTGTTCTATCCATGTGGTGTATTGTATTGAATGATTTTTCTAATGTTACACTACCTTTGCATTCCTGGAACACCTTACATCTGGTCAAGTTGTATGATTCTTTTCTTTTTTTTTAAATCGTTTTATTGGGGGCTCATATAACTCTTATCACAATCCATACATACATCCATTTTGTCAAGCACATTTGTACATACATTCATTGCCATCATCATTCTCAAAATATTTGCTTTCTACTTGAGCCCTTGATATCAGCTCCTCATTTTTCCTCCTCCCTTGCTGCTGCCCCCTCCCTCATGAACCCTTGATAATTAATAAATTATTATTATTTTGCCATATCTTACACTGTACAATGTCTCCGTTCACCCACTTTTCTGTTATCCAAACCCCCGGGAGGAGGTTATATGTAGATCCTTGTAATCGGTTCCCCTTTCTACTCCACCTTCCCTCCACCCTCCCAGTATCGCCACTCTCACCACTGGTCCTGAAGGGATCATCTGTCCTGAATTCCCTGTGTTTCCAGTTGCTATCTGTACCAGTGTACATCCTCTGGTCTAGCCAGATTTGTAAGGTAGAATTG